TGAGATGTATATTTGTAATGCATTTTGGGGGGGGGGGGGGGGGCGTCAGCGGAAGCAAAGAGGCGTTATTGTAGGTTGTCTCATGAGTACAAGGCAACGGGCCGGAGCGGATGGAGAGGTGGGAAGAGCAAGAGTGAGGGACAGAGGCGGGATGGGAAGTGGAGAGCAGGAAGAAGGTCCGAGAGAAGTTGCTATCAACATTTCGACTCAAGACTCTTTTGCTTGCAGTTGTATTGTGCATACCAATGATGTTGCCGTAGAACTGAGAGATTTAATCAATATTTCGACGCTCAAGATTCGGTGATTTGTTTCTGTCCGGAACATCACGCCCCACCGGTGTTAGACTACAGCAGTGCTAATATAAAAAACTCATCACCAAACCTGGATGTTCAGCTTCATGGCCCATCGCCGTGGCCTACTCTCTTCTTCTACCACAAGCCCATACGAACTCCGAATCCTTCAGAGTCCCACGCACAAAACCTCAAGAGTGCTTTCAAACATAAATTCTTGAAACCGTTGATTAACACAACACATTTAGACCGCACGAAATGACTCCACCTGCTAGAGAGAGAGAGAGAGAGAGAGCAACAGAGAGCACTCACATTTTCCCAGTTGAGCTGTCCCGGCCGACAAGAGAAAACACCATACCCTCCGACCCCCCCTTGTCTGGCAGCTGGGTCCAGAAGTTCCAAAGCGGCTGTCTCGCTCGCACCAGAGGCGTAGAAACCTTCTCGTCTCCGTAGGTGATGGTGATCTGGAGCGGTAGCTCCTGAGTGCGGCAGGAGGCGGCGGGAGAGTTTGTTCCGAGAAAAAAGGCAATTAGCGCGTCGACACATAAGCAAGGGAAGGTTGTAAAGTTATCAGGGGGGGGGGGGGGGAGGAGATGTGAATTAGGGGTGTTGGTTGTGTTTTTGTTTTGGGTGCTTTTCATTTTTCAGGTTTGGGGAGTACATATTGCAGCGAAAGGTGGCACACGGCTCGGGTCGAGGGAGGCGTTGTTTTGCAACCGCATGGTGCTTGGCGGGTGCCGTTTCTGCACGCTCGTGCTTTTCCTTGGGGCCTTCGTTTCGCTCGTAGTCGCCTAGTTTCGTGCTAAAAATTATGTTACACAAAGGAAAGAGGGGGAGCGGGTGCTCTACTTGTTATCGGAGGTACGCCAATGGACTGTACGCATGGGGCATTGAGGGGGCGGTGTCACCGTCTGCACCTCGACACGACGGGTTTCCAAATCCATTACTGGAGATAACATGGAAGTAGATCAGTGAGCGGGCACGGAACTCATGCTCTATATTGTATGGAGGGTGAAACAACTGCGGTTCCAACAAAAACATAGGAAGAGGGCGTTGATATCCTTTGCAACTGCTCGCAAAATTCCAATCTCTCGATAGGATCCGTCTCTGGACGAGGTGCAATATCTCCCCCCCCGCCCCCCGGATATCTCGCCGCGGCACCTCCAATACTCCGTAGTAGTCACATGGTACTTACGTCAAGGCGATTGAGAGAGGACATTGTATACAGTTGGCTGGTGCTCGTTTTCAGCCTACCTGTTGTTTGGTGATGCCCGTGTGGTCTCTTCGAGTCTGCACGACGATAACTTGCCACGCGAAATCATCCTGGAGTCATTGGGTTCATCAACCCAGGGGGGAGAGCAGGGGCAGCAGCAGCAGCAGCAGCAGAAGAAGAATGGAAAGGGCAATCAAAACAACAGAGAAGAACAGGGGACAAGGCGCCGCACGCCAGGAACAAGCTTACGAATATTGCAGGACAACAATATACGTCAAGCGGGCAGCTGAGAAAAATGGCGAGGAGCACGACGCTGCCGCTGTCCTCGCAAGACCCACTCGGAACAACGTCTAAGTCACGGACAAATACGCGCGAGTCCTGATTTACGCCGACAGCAGACAGCCATATGAGTGAATGTCGACGCATGCATAGTAAACGCCATCCTCCTGTTGGAAAACAATCTGTCAGGACATCAGCCCCCTGCGCCATGGCCACATACCGGAAGAGGCGGAGAGATGGCACCCACCCCCTTGAACCGATTTTCAGTACACGAATGCTCCACAACTAATCATGTGCCAACACCAAAAAGGGTGGGTTTGGAAACGTTTCGTCCAGGTCTTTCCGAATGTATAGACGTATCGAGCTATTTCCGCACCCACTTGGTTGTGGAGCAATCGCATCGACCTTTGAAAGTCGGTTTAGGGGGGGTGGCATCTCTCCGCCTCTTACGGAATATCACGGTGCGGTACAGACAATCTTGGTCGTGGAGCAATCGAATCGAGCTTTGAAAGTCGGTCCATAGGGGGGGTGAAATTTTCTCCGCCTCTATTGTACAGTGATCACGGTTAGATTGCCTTGCCGCATTATCGCAGAGCAGGAGGGGAGGAGAGAAGAAAAAAAGCACGTGCAGGGCTACCCCTCTGCGACCCCCGGCTGGTGCCAACGTAAAGAAAAAGGAAGCACACCAGTAGTCTAACCAACACCCGACCTCCAGAAAAAATTGAAAGACAACACCCCAACACCGTAGTAGCGGTCGGCGTGGTGACACCAGAAAGGAATATAGACGATATTTATACGATGTACATCCAGTAGACACGTTTGGAGCGGGTGGGCAGCAGTGGCGGCAAAGGATGATAAGTTCATGGGACATGGTGGTGGTGGTGGTGGTGGTTATCTAGCAGACAAATATCTCGAGAGTGCATGAGGTGTGGAGGTGGGCGAACTTCGGCTCCGCTCGTCGTCGCTTGAAGTGTACGTTTCAACCATCTTCCACGTCCATGGTTGACTTGTGTTCGTTTCGTTTGCCTGGCCCTTGCGCGGCGAGTGGGAGGGGGCAGCGACGGGCTCTCTCTGTGCGTCGATGTCCCTTATCGAACCGCTTTCTTTTGTCCAAAACGTTGCTTGCTCAAATTCCGCTATTAACTGCTGTGTCTAGGGGGCCTTTGGAAGTACGAGTATTGTTGATTTTTCGCTTGTTTTAGTGGATCCTCTTCGGCTTTTCAAAAAAAAAAAAAAATCGGAGTACAGGTGGAAACAGTTGGTCTAGGCTATGGCAGTAGCTACATCGCTTGCTTACGAAGGTGTCCGGGTCAGTAGGAACCGTACCGAATGTTGGGAGGTACTCAACAGGATCGGAACCGTCCCAAAATCGTGACAACAAGAGCAACATCGAACGAAAATAAATACATACGGTAGTGATGATCAAGGTTATTCCGGGTTTGTCAGTGTATTCGACCGTGAAGTCTATCTATCTACATGTACGGAATAGACTGAATTAGAGACCTCGATGAGATGGACTTAACGTATCAGTACATGCCGAATGCTTCATGCTACGCACGCTGAAGTGTCAGTGTGGCCCCATGCATACGGCTACTATGTACAGCAGTCCTGCTGTAGAGCAGGAACGTATTTAGTGAAATTATGTTTTTCCGGCGCTGCAGGGGCCAAAAGCGAGACGTGCAAAAAAAAAAAACGACGAGCGTTGTTCGTCGCGATACAATGTAGTAGGAGATTTTTGAAATTATCCTTCTTGAAAATAAGCTGCACTGACGAGGATGTCTGGCACAGCGGTCCCTGGTCGTTGCACAACCTTGATCGAGCGCGGCTTCCCCCCCTGAAACGACGTGGGGCCTAGTGCGACATGCCTCAAAACTAGAGGACCCCGAACCCGACAGCTGGGAAGCAAATAAAACTATGCAAGATTTTTGTCTGTGACGCCAGCAACAACAAAAGCTTTTCATGATGCAACGCCAAGGCTCTCACCTCTCGCACCATGGTGTTCCCCCCCCCAAGAACAACAAGCGTGCCTCGCGGTAGGAGCCCTCTGCAAGCACGAATGGCTGGGGGTTGCCAACGCAGAGCAGCGAACCACTACAAGGTGAAATACTCTCCTTTCCCCAGGTCTCTCAGTCAGTCAGGAAAGGTACGCCATACGCAACGCATGGTACGCAGCGGCGTTCATTTGCGGCATGCATGGCGGGGCAACGCAAATGCAATCTGGGGGGATCATGGACAGTTTATGCCCTATCTGCAGGGACTCCCTCGTGTCGTGTGCTACGCCAACTCCCGCTCCCGCTCAGGCTGCCGAGACAGCTACTCCTGTCTGCTGTTTTCACACCACGCCAGACGCGCAACAACCATGTCTACCATCCCATCATTTCTTGTGGGGCTGGTTGCCTCTGGTGTGGGCTACGCGTACCTGTCGCGCGATCTGGTCACCTCTAGGAATAAGCTAATGTCGAAGCACTTCAAGGCCGACGGGGTCGAGCCCTACTACCCTGTGCGGAAGGTGATGTGCAGTACTACTGTAGTGCCTTGGGGTGCCACCCTACTTCACGGGGTTGGATGGAGTGAACGCGCAGTTAGTTTGACTGTATGGTTCCAACGGCAGTATCATACACCTGGAGTTTTTGCTGTTGTCGTTTGCATTCTGGTGTGTGTAGAAGACATACACATTTGATGTACCAATATAAAATATACCAATATAAAATATACGGGGGTGTTTGAATTATTTAATTGTTTTTGGGTTTGAGGTGTACATGAAGGTGGTACAATTAAAATATATGGGGGTGTTTGATTTAATTAGTTGTTTTTGGGTTTGGGGAGTACATATGGAGTATGTATGTACTCAAACGTGTCCGCGTGTAGAGCTGTACATACTGCTGTAGGGGCAAGAACTTGAAGGCACTGCTGCATATGGTCCGGTATCATCGACACTCTCAGAATCTGTAGCACGCTGCCTGTGGGCCCCCATTAGGAAAATAATCAACAACCGCGGCAACACTAGCATGTGGCGACTATGGTCATGATCATGTGGGATTATTTTAGCTGACAATTAGTTTGCACTTCCGAAGTGTTTTCAGCCGCTACTGAATACTCCATACTCGATGAATACTGGCGCCCCCAGCAAGCTTCCGCAGACTACCAGCAAGTTCCCACACCAGTTTCAAATGGACCTGGCCTGCTCCACTAGTCGATCAACACGTCACGACGTTGGCGATGTAGCTATAGCGTGAGCGCCTGAACTACTTCAAAGTTAAGGTTTGTGATGATGTATTAGTATACCGTAGGGTGCTCGATCTTCACTCGTCTTACTCGCACCCTCAACCGACCGTGTCGACGAAGTCGGAGTGTCCACCAATGTTTTCGCATGCATTTCCCATGCACAGGACAGGCAGGTCACATGTTTGCACCCCTCTAACTTCAGGGTACCCTACAACAACTGCACGTACCCTGCAACACCTGACAACAAAGACGATCATTCCTGCACCTAATATTCACGTCCTCTACTCCAGCTTGTGACCAGTTTTCCTGTTTGTCTTGCGATCCTGGCCCATTCCCTCGGTGGCCCTCAAAAAATATGTGTTGCCGTGCCAGATGCCTCGCCAGTTTGGGAGACCAAAAGGCGAGCGCGGCGGTTGCCCACGCGGCTCTAGCTTCAATTCGGAAACGAGCAGGGGGGTCGTCAGCGGCTTACCGGAACCCGCGCCAGCGGGTGAGCACCACCTCGTCACGGATGCCCGCACCAAGTGGAACGCGGCTGTTTTGCGATGCTCCGATACGGTATTCAGCGCCTTGTATGGCCGCGGAAGTGCGACGGAGGGCAAGGCCGAGGGTGGTGACGAACCACGGGATTCATGATGCCCCAGATAGGGAACAAGGTGGTGAAGAGCGGGTCACGTTGCCGCAATGCGACTCTATTTTGTGCTGGGAGACGTGTTTTGAGGTGGGCAGCAGGCGAAGGGAGACCAGAGGAAAAATGCGAATGTATCCTTGCCGTGGTCGCTCATTACATCAGCGACGACGAGGCGATTACTGCTTCTGGGAGAACGACGCCCGGAGGGAAGGGATAAGAGCTGCTTGCACATGAACCGAAAACTGTCTCGAACGGAGGGTGTCCACACCCCGCAAGGGCGCAGCCTCTTTTGTGGGGAAGTAGGAGCGACGTTTCTGCGACACGATACCTGCGGATCTTTTGCTGCTGTGGCCAAAGGTTAAGGTAGTTCACCGGGGCTTTGGGGTGGGAATACGTAAAAGGGAGCTGTAGTTCGTGATTTGAGTGCTTTCCTACTTTACAAGGAAGGGTCAACCTTTTGCTATTCGTGTGATTCGCGTCATAGGCTCCCGAACACGTGCGGGTCAGCTGGGGCCGCCTGTGTCCAGCCAGCTTGAGCTAGTACGTATGTCCATCAGGTGTTGCATTCAGCGTGTATATAGGAGTGCGGTGTTCTTGCCCCCCCGTGCTCGCGTGAGCGGCGGGCTCTGTGTGCATATCTGCAACTTTGGGATGTACGGATTTGTGGTGGAGCTGTGAACGCTCGGAATACGGCCCTATCTGGAGTGGTTGTCTTTTTCTTGCACGGGCCTCTTGGAGTTTGTTTTCAGCACCGTGAAATTTCAAGTATGCATCTACTGAAGATATCTTGTGCGTATTGTCTCTTGTTTTCGCTCTGTCAAAAACCCTTGGTCTCACAGCTCAACTGGGTGCACTGCTCTGTTATTTTTGTTTGGTTGCAAAATGAACAGCTGCTAGAGCCGATATAGTTTGGTCTATGTAGGCGTGCAGCTCTTCGTTCATGTGAATTCTACAGCACATTCCACAATGTCGGCTTCACGAAGAGATCACGGAGGGGTGTCCCGTCCTCATTTTGTGACATTGAATGGCATCGAGCCAGGACTTCGGCTACTCTCACGCAGCATACGCAGCACATGTTTTGAGGCTTGGCATGCACACGAGCCGGTCACCCCGGTGGTCTAGTTGGTATCCTCGAAACCTTCTAGAAGAGGTCAGGTCAGGGGTTCGAATCCCGGCGAAAGCGAGCTTTTCTTGCGAAGTGAGTTTTTCTCTCGCTTCCGCTTCTGGCCTAGTGGATAGCGCTAGTTCGTGTGTACACAGACGGAAGAGAGTGCGGAACTCTTCTCGCGTTAAAAACCGAAGGCAAAGGACCGCACGAGGGGAGGGGAGAGAGGAGCTCTTCTGTGTGACCACGGGTTGGAGTAAACGGCACTAGTGCTGTGAGCGCTGATTTGAAGTGAAGACAATAAAAAAAAAAAATGCACACGCCAAACATCACCAGGAAAGGGTGTTCAGTTCGCCTGTTTACAAGATCTTTTCGTTCTTCCGTGTGTGCCACTACCTACGATACGAGTGTGGGTGAACCGCAGAGCAGCTGGCATTCACGGGGCGACGGAGACACATCACCAAAAACAACAAAGGTGCACAGCAGTGCACAGACTAGTGCACACCTGTACACCTATTCGAAGTTTGTGCTTCACCTCCATACACAACGACACCAACTTGGAACGTGTCCAAGGAGAAAAAAAACGGAAAACACCACTGGCAGATGAAGCATGTGTCTCTCTGATCAAGAAGAGGGCATACATGTAGCGGGTAGGGAGAGTTCCGCAGGGCGAGAAGACCACCGGCATGCCCAACAAAGATTAAATAACCCACCGGCCACCGCCTTCTATCTCCCTCTTTTAGACTACTGGTTCTCCGTAAATCTCCGAAAAAAAAAAATGGCTCTTCTCTCGTCCTTCCCTCAGCCCTCTGCCCTCACACCGCGGGCGCGCATAGACCTGGCGCCCACTCTAGGAATTAATCGATTCGCACCTGTTCCAGACCTAGACCTGGCCCTTGGTGTCAAGTATCGCTGGGATCGCTGGCGTTACCGACGACCTCTGGTGAGGAATCAAACGGAAGAGAGGAGCAGCATCAAGAACGTAACGGGGGGCCCCCACATCATCAAATTTGGCGCCAACGGGACAGATATACCAGTAGAGACAGCGGGAGTACTATGGCCAATCTCGTGGACAGCTGGTTGAACGGGATCGGTCTGGGCTATGCTGTGCCCATCTTCGCCGGGCAGGGCATCGACTCGCCGGACATGCTCTCCGAGCTAGACGTGGTTGACTTTCCGGAGCTTGGAATCTCGGATCAAAACGATCGCAAGAAGGTATGCAGCAGCCGAGACTACACACGTACAGCAGTCACACACGAGGCTGGTTGATTGCATCACCTCGGCGCCAAAAGGAAACGGACTCCCGTGACTATGCCCATCAACGTAGCTTGTTGTGTCTCTTGATCGATCTCTGCGGCTGGTATGGATCCAGTTGATGCAGCTCTGGTTGTCTCAGAGCCCGCGCTCTGAAACCGCAGCAGCAGTGTACAACATGACATCAATAGCCCCTGCGTATGTAGGATACCATGTCGAATGTCCAACCGCCTGTTTCACCGAGAAGACCTACAGCCAGTAACAAACGAAAGACAGCAGCGAATAAGAAGGCTAACGGGCAGTGAGGGCGTCTACCTCTGTTCCATGGAGCTGCACTAGGTACAACATGCCTTCATCTGCCACCTAGTGAATGAGCGTGCGGCCATATCACGAGCTTTATCGCAAGACATTGTTGTAGCAGCAGACATGCTGCGGTGCGAGATTTTAATACGCTGGGTGTGCGATGTATGTCACGTGGTATGCTTTTGAGCAACGTTGTTGACCGGCATATATCATGACCACGCTTGTATTTTAGATCGATCTCATGCTGCTTTTGTGTCCCTTTTCCCAAATACCCGTTCGACATGCTGTCTCATTTGGGACATTTATGCTAGATTTTTTATGCGCTACGTGTGCCTTCACGTCACTTATGCGTATGTATTTGACCGACGAGGAGTAAAAAACGATGGATATTACTGGTACACTGCTGTGTTCCTTGCTGTGTTCCTTTTCCCACATGCCTCGCCGACATGGACACGCATCCTTCCTTCACTGCTGTTCTCCACATCCGTCTCCCAGCTCTTCTACCTGATCCAGAGAGTAAAGCTGGCGCTTGCGCGGGGCCGGGCCGCGGAAGACAAAACCGCGCCTCAGGCAGATTCCGTGGTTTCTTTAGCCCCCAACGCGGCAGCAGCACATGCAACAGCAGCAGCCAGCCAGCGGGACGCAGGCGCGAAGGAGTCGCGGGCAGCAGACAAGACCCCTTCCTCTGTTTCTCAAACCTCTGTGCGGTTTCGGCGAGAGCTAGAGGTGCCTGCGGCCAGGGGTGCGGCGGCGGCGTCGCCACGCGCTGCTGTCATCAAGAGCACGCCTTCCGCGGTAGCTCACCTTACCCCCGCCAAGGCCCAGCGCCTGCCGCCGTCGCACAGGCGGCCGAAGACACCGCACGCCGACGGGGCCGTCAGGGGGAGGAATCAGCAGACGTCTGCTGCCGTCAGGTCGCCTTCCCCCGCAGCCAACAGAGGCAGGCTACAGCGGCAGCAGCAGCAGCAGCAGCCGGTAGCTAGGCTCGCGGTAGCTAGGCCCGCGGCCCCTGAGACGGGCGTCGCAGTCTTGGCCGTGGAACGCCACGACGCGGCGTTGCGGCACGAACAACGGGGGGTTGGCAGCAGCAGCGACGGGGAGGGGGCACGCGGACGGCCTACCGCCCACGAGAGGAGACCGTCGCGCCCGAAGAAGATGAGCAAGCCGGCGGCGGAGCACCGCCGGAGCGCGTTGGAGCCGGTGCAGCTGGACGAGGCGGGAGGGCGAGCCAGCATCTCCTCTTCCGACGCAACAGCCGAGCATCTGCTGGCGCCTCCGCCAGGCCATTCGCTTCGCCGCCCGGCCCCGGGGGAGTGCACGGCGGAGGGGGCGTCCCCAAGGGGGGTCTCTAGATCGCAGGCTGGGGGGGGGTGGACGGAGCGGTCGAAGTCGTTCGGCAGTCACGCCGTTGCGCAGGAGGAGTCTCTTGCCAGACGACGATCTCTGGAGGGGCATCCGCCGCCGTCTAACACCGGCGGTGCCCCTCCCGCTACCGCTGCGTTGGTCCCGACAGTGGAGGTCGCGCGTCTTTACCCGGGGAGACGAGACGCAGCTGATGCCGGCAGTGGCACCCGAAGGATCAGGGCGGAGACCTTGGAAGCGTGGAACGAAGACGATGATCCCGTCGGATCATTCTCGGCTTCCGCCCGGAGGGTCGAGATCGATTGCGGCGAAAACCAAGTGTCGGCGGCGGAGGGCGGCCGGCGGGAGAGCGCGGCGGAGCTAGCCATGCACCTCATCTCGGCGCACAGGGAGGACGTCCGGAGCGCGCTCGCGGCCGCCCGCAAGGACATGGACCTGGTGTCCAAGGCGGACCAGGACCGGCGACCGGCGGCCCTCATGGAGTACGCGAGGGATGTAGAAGGGGTGCTGGGGGAGCGCCTAGCGGCAGGCGCCAGGCTGAGGAAGGCGCTGGACAGCTACATCGCTCTGAGGAAGTCGACGATGGGAGGTGTTGCCACGGGTGCAACACCCGCGGGGGTCCACGAGTTACAGGCAGGGCGGCCGCGGGTGGGCCGGCGAGCGGTGCACGCGTGATGATTCTGGGGGCTGGGTTACCGCTCCTTCGGGGTGAACGGGGTGGAGCGTTACGTTATACGTTGCGGCATGTCTCGAGCAGGAGGATCGTGGACGTTCTTCTGCTGGGGCTGTCATCGAAGAAAATTGCTTCCCCCCTGCAGTACTGCTGTGTCGATTTTTATCTCTTTTACTTTTTGGTAACGTCGTGTGAGGACGATGCTTTTGTTGTAGCTGAGTTTGGTGATGTAGGTGTGGGAGGAGATGCCGCGAAGGGCAGAAATGTCAGCACATCGCTGCAAGACAACTAACTCTTGTACGGCAGTCCTCCTCCCCGCCAAGAGTCTCTCGCAGGCGGCATCTTTAGCACATCAGTGAAGAGGTTGTTGCTGCCTGTGTGCGTACTTTGCTAAAAACTGTATCCGGCGGTGGTGTTCGTCGACGAACGGCTTTGCTTCCGGCGTCCCTACAATTTATGCGTTTTTGGTGCAACCTTGATGGGACTTGTTTTTGCACAGAAAGACTTGTGTCGAGGTGTAGGACTGGCTGGCTCTCGAAGAGTTATGTTCTACCTTCCCACGAGTACGCGATGCATGCTGCGGCACAACCTCCTCGTGTGACCGTTTATGCGTAGAGTTTTATGCCAAGATCGGTAGGCAACCTCCAGGTAGTCGCGTTTGTAAAAAATATATGTGCGACGCGGGCATCGGTTGTGCCATCTCTCGGGGAGCTGGAGAACCTACGTGGTTTTTCACACGCACCCGGTCGTAGTGAGGAAATACCTTGCAGTAGACACGGCCGGTTCCGGCGTTTGCCTAGAGGAAGAGTGGCGTTTGTGAAACGCGTTTTGCGTCGGTGTGTGTTGTTAATTCTCGGAATGCACGTTGTCATATTCATTGTCATGCCTGCTTGGGGGACGAAATTGATTAGACTTTGATCTTTGCGTTGCTAGGATACGAGGAGTGGGGAGGTTGGCTCCAGCCAGGAGGGTGAGAGAGACGCTTCCCCGGTGGTTGGCCTTGCTTGTTGGACGAGCTTTGTGACCCTTGGAAACGATTGCTATCTAGTGTTTCGCCGAAAGAAAATATATAAAAGGAAGTCTCAGGGCGTGCGTCTCTCGCGTGATTGAAGGTTTGCGGTGTTCATGCCGTTCCGACAAAGGGTCTTCCGAAGGTTCAGATTTCTCGGGCATGCTAAGTGGTTGGAAGGGCAGATAATCCCTCCTGTGGTGGCCCCGGCTAGTGCTTCAACCACAATGTATTAAGTGTAGACTGGCGCCCCGAATAGACAGGATGAAGACAAAGAAAGAAACATTTACGAGAAATCCTCCCGCTATTCTTCGACGTTGACGTCGTTGTACACAAAAAGGCTGGCCTACCGGCCTCAATTTGGTGCCCCTGCCAAAGCGGCCGACCCGCGTCCCATCCTCTCACGCGTACTGGTACAAGCACACGATCGACTGAGGCGCAACGGGCTGCCTACACAACGGGCACTCCGGGTTCGTCTGGCACCACCCCACGATGCACTCCCAACAGAACAGGTGTCCGCATGGGGTGGCCGCAACGTTCTCCCTGTTTGACATGCAGAGGGAGCAGCGTCGGCGGGATGGAGGAAACAGGGCTACGTCCGCCGGGGTCCTCCCTCGCTTGGCGGCCGGCACTCGCGGCGGCAGCGCCTGCGAGCGTGTCGGGCGCGAGAAGGGACGGGAGGGAAACAATAGAAAGGGTTGAGGTTCGGGCGTTGTCATAGCTGTTGGCCACATCCCGTACTGTTGCCAAGCGGAAAAATGAAGGTCGAGGCTCGGCGGCCGTGTGCCACATATTCGTCTTCGAAGTAGCTCCACGGCCAGAGCGATCAAACCACGATCGGTACAAACAACCCAAGGGCCGACGCCCAACATACAACGGGCAGCGTTACCCCAATAGGTACAGAACCTTCACACCCTTACCGTATCGCCAACTCCCTCCCCAAGGTCGCTAGGGCCCCCTTCCTCTCCGCAGGCCGCTTCCGTCTCCGTGCTCCTCGGAAACCTCTCCGACAACGCCGCTCTCGCGGTGGCCCTCCATCGCTCCGCTGTCTCGGCACTCGCCGTGGCAGCCTCCGCCGCCGCCTGCAGCAGCAGGAGCAGCCCTAACACCGCGTAGCGCGCGCGCGGCGCTTCCTGTTCCGGCCGAGCGTACGCGAGCCTCGCGCCGACGGTTCTCATGCCCACGTTCGCGAACCGCCCGTCGAAGTAAAACGCGGCCAGGTGCAACCGCAGGGCCCACTCCAGCACCCCCGACATCGCGGGTCGTCTTCGTCTTGCCCAGGAGAGGACCCGCCGCAAAAACGACACCACGGGTGGCGGCGACGAGCGGGCACTTCGCGACGCGAGCGGCGGTGCTCGTGCCCCGCCGCCACTTTCGCCGGAAGAAACGTCAATCGCTGCTTCCGTCGGTACCACATTCTCCTCCTCTTCCTCCGACGACCCCGCCCTGTCGGCTGCCGTTTCGCCGGACCCCGAGGAAACGGCAATGCCGACCGGCGGTGCCACAGCCGCCCGAGCGCGCGCTCTGGCGCGGGCCGCTGCCAGGGAAGCGGCTGCACCGCCGCTCCCGAAGGGATCCCTCAGGGATCGTAGCCCGTGCCAGCCCTCCCGCATACGTTCCTGTGATGGCAAGGCAGGCGACCAACCGGGTGTGCAGGACAAGTGTGGGGACGAGAAAAAATGTAGGCGAGTGGGGACAAGTAGACGACAAAATGCGGCGAGACAGTACTTTTTCTGACCGTGCGTAATTATTTCAGTGTCAGCTCGGTGGAAAGCGCGCGAGCATGCCCTAACTTTCATCTCACGAGACTCTCACTGCTGTTGAACATGCAACACTTTGGCCTTAGAATGGGGACCGCTGAAGCGTACCTCGTCGTCATGTATGGCTAGACCCGATCGGACCCTCACCTGGAGATACGGCACAGCCACGCGGAGAAACGTGTACGCTTGCAACGGCCTCCTGGGGAGAGGGGAAGACTCCCTGCCGCCGCCCCGGCCTGAGAGAACCAGATCAATACCGCAGTACTCCTGACCAAGAGTTTGCTTGCCTGCGGGCGTTGAGCATCATGCGGTATCGGATACGCCGTGACATGACGCACGTTAGGGTGGATCAGCGAATGAAAGCCTCTTTCCGGCCGACGTGCGGCAACACGGTTAATGCGCGTGTGTGTGCGTGTTCTTAGTATTGGCATCGACCGCTCTAACCGGCTGACCAATGTATGTGTGTTGATGTGCTTTGCTCGCCAAGTCGCCAAGTACCCTCGAACATGGCAAGTACTGCAACCTGAGGCAGTCCATCGCTCCGTGTAGCTGTCTGGCATAGCCCGCAGCTTTTCCTACCGGAAACAGCAGCCAGTCGTGCATCCGGTGGGCGAGATCGACCAGTGCCGACTTGACGCTTGAACGGAGGGTGGGACTCGAGCAACGGCTTGTGTGGTGATAAGGCATGAGACCAACGAATGTGTCGTCGGCACATCGTCTTCATTTCGACGTCCACAACTGCCCGTCGGCTTTTCCATTCTGCAAGCATTTTTGCAAGTCTGCATGTCAGCTACTGTACCACCCAGCAGCCAATTTTATACTGGTTATGTGACAAGCATTACAATGACAAAACTTGGATTCGCGTCATACCTGCAAGGTTAGTGAGGCCGAAGTATAGACAAGACGCAAGCGCCCTCAGTTCGGGGGCGAGTATCATCACCCTGCGAGCTCCCAACAGCGTCTCGGCCAGCTCCGATGTACCTTCACCTAGTAACGTGTTCGCGTAGTATAGATCTCTCTCCTGAGATAATACTACGTCGGGCTGAGCGGCATACCGAAGGAGAGGCGGGTCGGCACCCTCCATCTTTGATCCAGTGCAGCGAGAGCCAAGCAATAGGGCCGGGTGGCTTGCTGATCACCGGGCCAACCTTGAACGCCGGGGGTCTCCCATTGGGAAAAGCGGGGCGATTTGCCGACAGTCCCACGTCCACAAATGCGGGCTGACCGGTCACGCTTCAGGCAGAAGAACCACGGTAGCACGACGGTCGCACAGTAGCATGTAGCATGTGAGCGTATTAGATTATATGCATATGAGCATATGTGTATGAGGCGTACTCTCTCTCTCCCTCTCCATCTCCCTCTCCCTCTCCCTCTCCACCTTCGTCGCTGAAAAGCAGTAAGTACCATGGACAGATGAAGGAGGCAAGTTGGGAACTACAATACAGCAATACGCGGCGAGCGTTTGGTTCATCGGCGCGAATATAGTAGACCACGAGCAACAGCGACCGACCTGGGCGTAATAACACGCTGTGCGAATGCCTCATTCTTCTTCCGAAGAAACACAGGACATCCCTGAACAACAGCCAAACGGCTGCACGGAGGCACATAAAAATCATGCCGTCACACTGCCGGCGAAGGTCCCGGGGCCCGGGCCTGGGGACTACAATGTCACGCCTCCTACAATTGGGCAGAACGGCCACGCGGTTAGGTTCGGTTACCCCGGACTAGGGAGAAAGTACCCGCCGAGAACCCCGGATCAACCGCGAGCAGAGATCCCGTGCACCTACGCCGAGCCCGCGCACGTTTCTAGCCTCAACAATCAGTTGACCTCTGATCGGCCCACGTCTTACGCGGTTTTCTTCGGTGCGGCACCTCGTTTCCAGGGGAAGTGTTCAGTTTCAAATCAAGCCAAAGATGTGCTTCACGTTGCTCACGCCAAGCCAATGGGACGACGAAGCCCAACGGTGGCCGCCGCCAGCGGTTCTACTACAACAACTACAAGTCCGAGCGGACCTGGTCCCGGGGACTACGATGTCGCACATCATGCAGTCGGGCAGAACGGCCCCGCGATCACGTTCGGCGACCCCGCCCTGGGGGGGAAAAGGTACCCGCCGAGGACCCCGGACCAACCGCGAGCCGAAGTCCCGTGCACCTACGCCGAGCCTGGGCATATCTCTTGCCTGCGCCACCAATTGACCTCGGATCGACCCACGTCTCCCGCGGTCTTCTTTGGCGGAGCACCTCGTTTCCAGGTGCGGTGCGGTGATGACCTTTCGAAAATCTCGCCAGAAATTTGAACAGCTGGGCTTGAGCGAATGAGGCGGTGCGCCCAAAAGTCAGACGTCCATATGACCTACAGACAGTAAGAAACGCGGACAACGAACTTTGTCTAGCTTGCAAACGGTGCTCGTTGAAGGGTTGAAGTTGCCCAGAACCGCCGGCACTCGCCCATCACAAACGTCGGCACCACAGGTATATTTTCCCCCTAAAGCTCACAAGAAAAGAAATAAAGAAATGATCAAAAGACTAAAATAAGAGCGCTGAGAATCTCTGGACCACTTTGTGGGTGTTTGGGCGCGACTGTTACGAATATTCCTCGCACCAGTCTGGACCATTACAAATGCCAACAATCGCAGCAGCCACAAGTAATCAAAATCCATCAACGAGTGGTGCCCTGTGTGTCGAAGCAGGAACGTCGGAAGACGTGGGAGGCGAGGATTGATGCTGCCACACAGCGAAAGCCAGCAGGCCAGACGAGGGCTAAATCGTCTTCTGCTCTGCGCCCGGGCAACACTCTTCCTCAACCCATCTCCACCACCGATTCGCGTCGCCGAAAGAAGCGAAGAAAGCGGCGGTGGGGAGGCCCGAGAATATTTCGTCGTGGAAACTACGGCTGGCTGACGTCGTGCGCGGAGCCGAGACAGTGGGAACCGCAACTCAAACTTCTCGAAGACAAAGGCAAGGGTAGCGAAAGCCACCCGGCAACACCCATCTCAGACGTCTCGAGAACATGGTCGCTGACGGAAAAGAACGCCCCACGCCCAGTGCTGAGGCGCGGCGAGCGCCACAATCAGTCGGAGTACAACCCGCAGCACCGCGATCTGCCGCGAGAGAAGGACGGGTACCCCGGTCCGAAGTACGACCGACCCCCCGGAGCGTTTGGAAGAACGGGCGGCGGTGGCGGAACGGTCGCCCCGAGCGCCTTTATGTCTTCGCTGGATCGCTTCCCCCGTGGCCGGCTGTTTTCTGAGGAGGAAATACGAGAAAGGGAAGCCACTCCAGGCCCAGAAGCGTACGACGTTGGGCTGGAAAACCGCTTGGAAGGGTGTTCTTTTGAAAAGATGTACGGGTCATTGGAGACGCTCGCGTCTTGGGGTAGTCTGGGGGCTAGCAGAGCAGGGGGGGGGGTATGCAGTAACGACAAGGTTGCTGCGGACGGTATAGTACACGAGAGCGAGAATACTAACAAGGGAACGAACATTAGTAAGAGTGGGAACGGGGGAGTGGAGGAGGAAGGATACGCCAAAGACCGGCAATCAGTAGCGGAGCTGGCCGAACGAAATTCTTCCCGTCGTTCTCACGCACCCTGTGTGGCTGGGCAGTCGACGTTGTCCTCGCCAGCGAAACTGGAGACCAACAGCGCTCGCCGCAGTAGCAACGGGCGGCGGCAGCACTGTTCTCGACTATCACCGGCATCGTCGGTGGCGGCTTGTCGCGGCGTGCCGTGTCCGGACTGTGCGAGCGTCGAGGTAGCCACCGCCGCGGGCACCTTCGCCGCCGCGTCCGCCTCCCTGTCAGACGCGAACCTGTTCCGACGGGCGAGGACGATCGGCGCAAGCGTCCGCTTCGGCGACATGCCCCGCCTCCGCAGCGCCCCGGCCTTCACGATCGGCAGGGGCCAGAGGGACGTCTCTTCGCGGCTCCTCCATACCACGCCAGCGGAAGCACTCTACAAGGAGGACCGTCTTGGGCGGAGCGGGAAGGGGCCAACGACGGCCTCTCCCCGGGCGGGAGAACGACTCACCAGACCCCGGCCGATTGCGGCGAGAGTCGTCCTCCCGAAACAGGGTCCACGCGCTTCCGCGGGGGGGGGCTCGGAGGGAGGAAAATCGTCGGCGGCGGCGGGGGGAGAAGGAGGGATGGAGGTTGCCGAGAGAGGGGTGATCGTGGTTGATGGGGCTCTTGGAACGCAGGTAAAATCCCGCCGACCCACCAGCCCTAGCTTTACCCTAGCGGGGCCGCGGCGTGCGGCAACCCTGTTCCACGAGCGGCTTCGGTACGATGGAAAGGTGAGCGAAGTGCTTGCTTTTTTCTCCGGGGGATAAGTCTAGGCAAAGATCATGGTTCGCTCCTCACTCTCTCACACTCACGCGACGTCTAGCTTTGAACAAGTGCCTCGTTTCTTGATCTGTTGTTGAACACAGTTGTTCCCGTTGGGATTTGATTGCCCACTAGTCTTGGTTCTTTCATGTGCTGGCTTTGGAACATTGCGAGACGCCGTGTAGAAAGAGATGTTTGGCGTTTTCCGCCAAGGCTCTTGTCGCTTGTTGATATGTGCCTGTTGTCTACCTGCTCGTACGTGAGACAAAATAAACCTGCTACATACGGCTTTCAGTTGAGGTCAACAAGCACACAACCAGAGACGTTTGCCCAGCAGCGTGAGCTCGAGATCTCGCCTAGAAGACAACCAAGACTGACTCTATCGCTTGTTACCATGATCCCGAACCTGCGCGCAATACACGAAATTCTGAGAGCCCAAGATGTTGGTCGGGACTCTGTACCGTCTAGCACGGTTGATCCGGCGGCGAGCCTTCCTCAGTTTTGCTGTCCCGGCGGCCTTGAGTTTTCTAGACGCAGTCGTTTTCGCTGGCGCTCGCGTTTCTTGACGCTGTGATGCTACAGGCGCTGTCTGTGAGGCAACAAGATCAAGCGCAGCCAAAGATCTTCTTCAATGCCCACGTTCCACCAATCAATGCAGAAGACGAGTGACGGGGAACGTTTTTCTTGGAGAGAGCCGGCTTCCTTCAGTCCCTACGAAAATGAGGTGGCTTGCTTCCCAGCATTGCGTCTTCTTACGAAAGCCCGCGAGCGATAGGCAGAGTCATGATGGTTCAATCCATAGTAGGGTAGCAGAGTAACCCTTCTGTGTGACCAGGGATTCTAGCTCCTACACGGCAGAAATGCTGTGTGTGTGAGCCTTAGGTATAATTGATGAAAATAAAAGAGAGAAACGAAAGAGGTCTCCTTGTCCAGGTGTAATCTGTGAACACCGAACCAGAGAACCGATTTGCTTGTGTTTTTCAGACTTTCCAGACGGAGGCAGCCTCCTCCTCAGCGTAGGTGCGTCCTCGAAGAAAGAGGTACAATACGGGGTGTGTTATTGTTTTTATTGTCTGCTTTGCAACAGCAGTCTCTCTCCCTTTTGGTCTTCTTGGTCCACCACCATGCGCAGCAATGCCACCGTCTTTGTTGCGTCTGAGTTTGTACAGAATGTTGGAAACGGGACATGTCGAGTCGTGAAGTATGGCACCGAGAGGTCGATAGTGTCAATCCGAGATGTCACCGCCGCTACCTTTTCGAACACGATGTTTGTTCTGCTGTGTGTACTCCTCTCCTACAAACGTCCAATTACCAAGCACCATCCCAACCTTGGCCATGCTACTGCAGCAAGCCAAACACAAACGAATGGTTCGCCATTTCTATTTTCCCGAAAACATCGTATGTATCACACCGTCCACTCTTACCCTGACTCTGGAACGCAACTCTAACAAAACAGAATACTATTTTTTTCACTGCGAGCTCTGCTTCAATCTTATCCCCGAGGTAATGCTCCATGCGGTAGCAGAGGGTCCGGGCGTGTTCGGCCTGTCGCAGTTCTTCATGTAGCACAGCCCAAAGTTTTTGTCAAAAGAAAAGGCTTGGCAACCAGCCCTTCCGCCACACGCGGCGCAGCAGTCACCGAGAGAACCAGCCCTGACGGGTGATTTTCGAAGAGTCGTCCCGACCGACCGTTGGGGGTAAGAGAGAGATTACAGCAGGGCACACACGTTAGCCGGGGGCGAATAGTGCCTCTAAGGTGTTGAGACGACGTGATTGGTCTGTTTGAGGCGACAAGCTATTCGAGGCACTCAACGCCGCCCAGAGGGGCAAAGCACAATCGTGTCCGGAAATGTACAGGGTGTGCTCCAGATCTATTGCTTGGAAACACAACCTTGTCGAAAGCCTTTCACGACTTGACTGAAGACATTTTTAAACAATGACGCAGGCCTCCTTTTCTTAAGCTCAACTGTGTACCTCGCGTTGGTGAGGTCGCACTTGGCCTTGAACAGATCAACCCCCTCCGAAAGCGCGAACTGCTCGCAGTTTTCGACGGTAGCAGGAACAACTGCCGCCTTATCATCGACAGCCCTCTCCTTGCCAGCCGGGTTGACGATACTATCTTCCTGGTTCCAGTAGATGTACCTGTTGAAGACCATTTTGAGGAGTGAAACATGACGCATCTTTCATGACTTCGTTATCTCGTTTAAGCGGCATCCGAAAGCTGCTTACTACACGGAGCCGCGAGTCTTGCAGGTGCTTGTTTTCGCCTAGAACGGGAATAGAAACAGACACCGAGCTTCGCGTGTTCCTCCTGACAAGGTAAAGCGCTGATGGCACATTAGATGGCACTTATACTCGAAAACTCAGCTCTTCTTGTGCGGGGGGTCGGCGGTGTGACCCCCGCTCTCCTGAGGCCAACGCTGGGACTATCACCGTTTAACGAGGCCGTAGAGGGTAAGACTCTCGGCAGCGAGTGTCAAGTTTCATCTCGTCTGTCTTCTATTTCTGGGTCGACAAAAGCACAAGTAGCCAGCTCTCGTCGGCACGCAGGTGCGCAGGTGCGTAGGTGTAAAGGCCAATCGACAGATACCCTGCAAATCGGGTACTCTCCACCAACACGAATTCACCCTCAACTGGGAACCTCTTGTGACCAGGAAGGGTAATTCGATGCGAGTGTAACAGGTTCGTTCTAAGATCGACCCCCAAGAGGTGTCACGCGCCCAACAACGTGAGAACATGCAGCCGCACCTCCTGAAGACCTCGGCCGTCAAGATAGCGTTCTCGACGTAGCGATACACTATCGGCACCTCGCGTCCCTCGAGGTTTGTCACGCGGGAACCAGACATATCGAACTTCCCGGCCTTCGCCAGAACGAGAACAGCCGCAGCGGTAACAGGAAATGGGGTGGCGAACAGAGCAAGTGCACGTGGTTTGTTATCGGAAGTTTGGAGCAGACAGAACGTTCTACACAATGGGAGCACCCAACGTCAACCACTCCGGAAACCTCAAACGTTAACGTAGCGAAATCTAGCTGCTTTCCACGCGTTTCCGATCCAATACCCCTGCAAAACTCTTCCGAATGGCGGGGTGATTTGGACATCGAAGCGTGATGGTCCTACACATTTCCAACTAGGTGACTACGAAGTCTTTATGCTGCACGTTAGATGTTGGTGGGACTGACTCAGAAGAACGCTGTGGATTCCTGCCATATACATAGTTTTGGGTGTCTTGCGGGAAATAGTTTCTCGTGTGTTCGGCGTGGCGGATAAAATTATTTCGCCTCTCTCTACAGGGTTTTATAGTCGCCCCTGCGCATGAATCATCATGTGGCGGGTAGCGCTAGTGCCCCGCAGGGTTTGTCAGCATCTCCCTAGGAAATGACGAGCAATCCACGAATTACAGACAGATGTGTTCCAGACAACAACTTCAACAGTTATTTTTCATCTTGTACGCTTTCGTGTTGCGGACAAATATACTCTTGCTCCCAAAAATGGCCCCAATGATCGAGAGATTTCTGCATGTCGCAAAGATGACCGTGTGCAACACACGGTTCGACGTTCGTACTGCTTCTCAGATGACGCATGGGCACAGAAATAGGGCGAAGTGAATTGAAGTACCGTGAAATCCAACACGGATATGCATTGTATACTGTGAAAGATCTCACATGCAGCAATCGAGAGCTTCAACTGCACACCATCTGACCCTACCACGACAACCCCCATGAATCTATGTAGCGGTTACATACTGCTGTAGAAGCTCACCGGCACGTCGGTCATGGGCCCAGAAGACTGGTCGAACCTCAGCACCCCCTGCACCCCCCCGCTGTACAGTAAATAGTCGTGCAAGCCCGCGTCCACACCGGCTTTCTCGCACGCCTGAAACCCTGCCGAGGAGAGGACTTCCGACATCTGGCGGGCGTACTCGACGACGAGGTTGGACGTTCCCAGGCTGACGCCCGAGTGGATGGCGGGTTTGTCGGCGAGTTTGGCGAGGACCGAGGCCCCGAGACAGTCTTGTATCTTGGTGGAGTGCTGCTGGCTCTTGCCGATAAGCTTGTCGTCCGTGAAGGTGTATACTCCTGAGCAGTCGTAGTAGTTGACGTGCACAGCGTGGCAACACAGGTCATTTGTTGACAGCTGGTTATCTTGCTTTTGGATGTGTTAAAGTCGGAGGTGGGCGACAAAGCCAACCACTTTCGTGCACAAGGAGAGCTTGCAGGTGTTTATTCCCCATCGGCCGTCCCGAGCTGCTTGGTAGAGTGCATTTCAATTCGACGAGATGCTTTGTCGACGACGCCGAGCGTACACTTTGAGTCTCCTAGTACCGTTGCTGCAGCTGCTTCAACATAGTGGGTTTTGTCCATTGTCTCTCGTACTTGGCCTTGGTGGGGCTTGAAGAGTACCTTGTATGATTTGCCTACGAGTCGTCGGTCGGTATACATACCCCCCCCCCGCGCGCGCAGTCTCCTGCGGCGAAGGTATCGATATCATCCTCTCAACTCATCAACTGTTCGATCAGCGGAAACAGGATGGCATGACACCAACACATGGGTTTTTCAGTGTGCAGAGTTGGGGAACGTCTGGGCAATGCGCCAAGACCTCTGGGTACGTTCTCACCAGGGTCCCCGATGATGTCGAAAGGATTGGCCTGGAAAAATATCTGGCCCGCGTCGACTATCAACACGCGCTCGTATTCGGGGCCCTTGACGTCCAAGAACCGTTGAATCATGATCCAGCGGGCGGAGGAAGGGTGGTACTTGCGAAGGGCCGCTGGTTCCAGTCGCTCTCTGGAGATCTCGAGCGGGGTTATCATAAACCTGGCCGAACCCCGCGCCGTGCAAAAATAGCCGGCGCCCAAAAACGGGTTGGAGTTTTGTGTTGCGGCCCTAGGCTACAAGGGCCTTGATAACAAGTCGTATGCATACGGCGGCGGTGCCTCAGACCGCACGGCGGCCGTGCTGGTGGTGATTTAAGGATCAGCACGAGTCTTGACGCTGCGCAATGTACCAACTTTTGGGGGGGCCAGGGCAAGACGATACGAAATCCGCTCCACCGCTTGAGGTCCGTGGGTACCATGATACTAGGGGGAACGATTGGCCCCCCGCCCCCCAGTGGGGCGGGCGGCCAGCATGCGTGGGATGGGTGCGGCGGTTTGATAGGCAGAGGAAGTAGAGGCGATAATGATATCGATACGAAAGAAGGGTGTAAGTCTCAGACGATGTGTGAGGTCCTCACGTCCGTCCGTCCATGGCGTAGTTAATCGGTAGGAAAAAAAGAAAATGAAACCGAGGGGGATTTTCGTGAGAGGTCGAAATGCCCGATCACCATCAAACGTAAAGCGGAAGGAAGACGGGTGTGGGAAATTTGTGAGGAGGGAATGCGTGCGTGGATGAGATCGAACATGACATCCATTCCGCGTATGACGGAGGTGTTGTCACCTACACTTTCGAACAACTTATGGCCTCGTATCGGAGGTTACACCTGTTGAGGTTTGTTACCTCCAACAAACTGTCGGCTACCACCTTGCACGAAGACTTTGTTGCTACAGGTTGACGAAAGGTCGCATGTTTATTGTTGAGCGCGGAGAACGTCTCACTGCACGCTACAGCAACAGTAATCTTCAACGATATCCGGACGATGTCGTCTACAGCAGTAGAACACCTTGTGCTTGATGATGGCAGATTGAGAAGAGAATTTGAATCCGAATCAACACGAAACAAAACATGTTCAACACTGCAGGTGCATGCGCTAAGACGTGTCTACAGCAGCAGCATTTCACTTCGCCCGGTGCCTCGCATTGAAGTATACCCTTCGGCATACAGCAGGAGGTATCTCATGCAGCTGATGTCGCAAAGATGCGCTATTATGAGTTTTCTCGACCCACGTACACAAAAATCGGTGTGGGTAGCAAAGCAGGCAATATTGATGTCACCCCCCCCAAGCACGAGACACAACACATCAAATGCGGTGTTCTGTAGTTCGGCAGCAGCAACGAATGCATGCCACGGGTGGACGCAAGGTCGCATGTCATTGTTGAGCGCGGAGAACGTCCTGTTGGAGAACGTGTCACTGCACGCTACAGCAACAATGTTCTGTAGATGTAGCCTACAGGTAGAGCACCTTGTGGTTGATGATGGCAGATTGAGAACAAAGTTATTTTTATCCGAAACAAAAGAAACAACACGAAACAAAACATGTTCAACACCGCGGGTTCATGCTCTAAGACGTGTCTACATCAACAGCGTTTCACTTTACCCGGTGGTGCCGCATTCAAGTACCCTTCGCGCGGTCGCAGGAGGTATGTCATGCAGCCGAAGTCGAAAAGATGAGCTAGTTTTCGGTCTTACCCAGCGTACTCTTCACGTGTACAAAAACAAGAATCGAGCAAACATGTATATATATACTTTTCCCATACTATTGGTTCGAAATGTATGACGACACGAACGCAATCCTGTGAGTATATTGTATATAACATGATGAATACCAAACGTAGTAAAGCTCGTGAAACGTACAGTAGACTACCCACTCCTGCACACACGCACGGAACGTAAAGTGCGATTATCGTGGCGTCAGAGAAGCTCCCCATGTCCTTCTCTCTTGGCGTACTCACGTGTCGATAATGTCGTTAAACCGTTCGCTTGTGGGTGCCTCAAAGAACATAAATAGGTCGGCCGACGGCGCAAACTCACGGAAGGATGCCGCAAACGTAACGAGTTGCGCGGGGCTAATGCCCACGGCCATACCCAGGCACAAGTCGCCCGCCCCCGGCGCCCCGTCAACTCCACCATTTGTGTTGGCAACGCCAAGCCTTTCCGCTGGCTGAGGTCCGTGTGACGGCGGGCTTCCAATAGGACGATATGCGCTAAGGCCACGAATACCGGGCCGGGCGCCGTTCTCATGCTCCTCACGGGCGGAGATGTTGACCTTAAAGAAGAGTTTGAGTACACAGAACGGGTATTAATTAATGCACATACATGGAACCGTCCGTGGTGCCCTACAAGCTATGTAAGTGGCCGTTCCCTGCTATAATCAAAAGGGGGACAAACCACAGCTCTTCAGCCACGTAATAATACTGGCAATGGTATCATACGACGGGTGCAAAATGAAGCACGCAGCGACCGCGTAAGAAACACGTTAAAAGGACACAACGGACGGCATTCATACCGCGACGTAGTGAAAATCGCGTCGTCGTCCTATTGTAGCAATTTGTATCACGACGACGTAATTCAAAGGGGCATACACGAATGCCACCCCAAGTTGATCTTCGACAATACACTGCTGTGGCCCTGTCTCAACACCGCTAACCCCAACCAACACTCGCAGAACCACGCAGCAAGATGGGGGGGAGCTACAAATATGCGGATGCCAAGCCAACAGAGATCATAGCTACAACTGTCGTAACATATATGTAGATGCATTAGACCGCAGTCTAGCTGCAAATCATATTAATTATCAACGAGACAGCCACGACATTTGATCCATACAACAACACCCTGTAAGTGGGACGTGGACTACAGAATACTTCCACATAGTCTACATAGCACCTGCGAGACATGCTGTATGTAGGCGAGAGAACGACAACACGTGTACGCAATGGAGAAGCTCTCACCGAAAATCGAGCACTCGGACCGAGAAATAGGTTCGGAGCGGAGATGATCGTCATGAACAAGACGAGCACGACAATCACCCTGCACGCTCGATTATATTCGCCATGCTTCAAACTGTCGCTGCTGTTGTATCGATCAAGCCCGCTGCCCCTTCGCCTGCCGAGCCCGGAGCCTGCCCTGCCTAACAAATTGTGCGTTTTGTGCACCCTGTGCGCTTTGAGCACCGCCATACGACTAAACGATTATCAGCCACAAGTGTCCGCCCCACGTTGCGACTTCCTGCCATCTATTGCACTTGGCAGATCCAGGTGTGCGTTGTAGCATATGCTACAAGACGGCTGGCTGAAGATTTGGAACGCGGCGGGCGGGAACTCGAATCCAGATTTAATTTGTCGTTACACAATGCTACTGCTGTACCCCGCTTTATATAATCTGCCAGTCGCGTGCCCCCCTCTCCACACCCACCGGCTACACCAACAAAGCGAAGGCTCTCTGTGGGAACTGGTGAGGAGGGTAGATACGTTTGGAGCGTTGAGGCATAGCCGTTCCATTCCGTTGCTGGGTTTTGCTTGTCCCGCACCAAAAGACTCCAGTACTTGCGGAACGGACAAAATTGTACACGCGCTTTACGTAAACACCGCCTACGATCAACTCCCAACACGACAGCATGCACGAACTGCTATCTTGTAGAGACGAATGAAGCGCCGAGACTCTCTAGCGCAGACCGTTATACTGCACGCCCTGAGAGTATTATGGGATTTGTACATCCCAGCACGTTCACCGGTAGCAGCAGCTGACGCACACCGACGCCAGAAAGGGGATGCGACACAGTAGTAGGCATTTCCACAACAACACAGGGTTCTTTGTTTCCCTCGCTTGCTGTCCCTTCCGGCCTCTCTACAGCAGACCATGCTCCGTCGGAAGCCCACTCGTATCGAGCTCACAACCGAAGACGTTCAGGACTACGAGGCGATCAAGAAGAAAGCCGAAGAGAACAGGCGAAAACAGGAGGAGATCGAACGCAACAACCGCAACTTGACTAAGGCGGCGGAGAAGAAAGCAGCCGCGGAGGCGGAAGCAGCGGCAGTAGCAGCCGCGGAGGCGGCGGCTGCCGCGAAGGAGCCATCTCGACGGCAAGTGGTGGCCTCTCGCATCGGACTCAACCGCCCATAGCCGGGTGCCCGCGCATAGTCGAACGGCCGAGCAATGTTTCTTCGCGACCCCTGGGACAAAGAATTTCGACTGTTCCCAGTGCCGCCAGAGCAGCCGCCGCAGGCCGGACTGTCGACGACCGACGCTACCGCTGACGCCGCCCCGACTACTGCCGGTGCTTCTGCTGCCGGTAGCATCACCTCCGAGTTGACGTCCCCACACGGCAATGTCTTGGTAGATGTGGGCTTCTGGGCTGACCCGAGGGACAGCGGAGACAAGCGACCAGACCCGGCCCAGCTGGTTGACGAGGAGTGGGGCGGCACGGTAGAGGCGGTCGCCGTTGCCTTGTACGTCCGCTCTGGCTTCCTGGAGTCCTTCGAGCTGGGGTACTCGTTCTGTAGGTTTGGCTGCTGCGGCGACGGCAGTGCTGCGCAAACGAGTGCCAGAGACTCCAAGCGTAGATCTTGGTTTTCGGCCATCGGCGGCAACGGCGGCCGCTGCGGTGGTGGCGCGCCAGAACAACGCCGTGGTCCGAAAGGCAGCAAGTTCATGGGCTGCACTACTTTGACCGATGGCAAGTACGTGTGGCCGGAAGGCTTGGCGCACTACATAGAGGAGCACGCGGTGCGCCCCCCAGACGACTTCGTGACCTTCTCTCTGCGAAACCTCCGGGCGCTGCGGGAAGCTCAGGCGGGAGGCCGGCTCCACTGGGAGGTGGATGAGAGGGGGAGGGGGCGGATGGCGCGGCTTTCACCCGGGACGGCGGTGTTTTTGAAGGATAACACCACCCTGGGCATAGCTCTGCCGCCCGAGCCTGAGGTTCGAAAAACACCGTCGGGTGGTAGCCGTGAAGAGGAGCAGCGGTGCTCGTGTATGCTACCGCGGTGAAGGGCCGCAGGGAAAGCGGAGACGAAGGTTGTCCTGTTTGCGTCGTCACTGCTGTTCCTGTGTTCGTGAGAATGTTTTTGAGCGTGCGTAGTGTTTTTGTGAGGCAGCAACTGCCGTTGCCCTAGTACGTGGATGCTGGCATGGAGGAGCTGGTGCTTCGAGTTTTATCTTGCATGTCTGTTTTGGGAAAGCTTATGTTGGTGAAAAGTCGTGGTGTGTGACGTTGGCCTGTGGGCGTATTGTATACTCCACACGGATGCTGTGGTCTCCCAAAAAACGAGCACCGCTGCTTTGGTTTTCAAGACCGCGTCGCGCACAGCCAGCTACAGGAGAACGGTTGGTGATTGGATATTATTTTGAGCCAGGCTGCTTCGCCTATGTGATGTCATCACATGGCCTTTTCGATTTTTTCCCGCATTGCAGGGATTGGTAGCGGGAGGCGAAATCATTTGGCACGATCAGCAGCGGCCGAAACGTACTCGTCCTGCTTCCATACGTGACTCAGCAAATGTACAGTTGTAGTTCCCCTTGGGTGTTTTGAGGATTTTGAAGACGGGTAAGAACGAGTAAGATTCGCGAGCGGATTCGCGAGCTCTCTAGTGTAGCACTACAAGCAATCAGCGCTACTTCTTGAAAACAGCCTCTCGGCTTGTGGTAAGCAATGCCTCCCGCGGGGGATTCAGAGACCCTTCGGTGACACCACGAGGGATCAACATACCACGTCGCAGCGGTGAAATTCAGTCTTCGCAATGCTCAACACGAGCTTCAAAAGCCGGGAAAAAACAGCGAAAGGTGTCGTGCACGCAGCTGTAGTTACAGTCAGTCTCTTTGCATGCCATCCGCCGGTTGTACCTCTCCGCCCCTCAGCAAGTCTTAGGGGATAGGGCAGGGGGCGACCCGGCCAGGTCGGGTACAACCTTCCAAAGCAGCATCAGCAGCAGCAGCAGTGATGACCTCCCGCCCACCCCAGGACAGCCCACACAACGCGCCGCCTATGCATACCTACGAATTCTACTCTTGGAGCTCAAAAACCAAGTCCGGACAGCCATCTCTTGACGTTCGTCGCGTGATCTCCCTCGATCCTCAGCTCCCCTCCCCTAGCCTCTACTTTACCCCCCTGGCAGACCTTGGACAGATCGGACGTAAACGCCTGCAAATGAAAAAGGCATCGCACAGCACGCGTCCAGCGTGAAAGGAAAAGGAGGGGTTGTTGAAGCAGGCTCACATCCCGAATTAAGTGGTGTTCGATACGCATGGTTTGCGTCACAGACAAAGGGCATGCATCCTGCAGATCTTAACCCCTTTGCAGGTTATACGTTTGGTGCACGTTACATGGACCGCTCAGCGGGTGTTGCGGTTGCAGGGGTAGTCACAGCAAAATGCCAAGCTGGACAAGAGGGATATTCCGTGCGAAGAATCCACAATTTTCCAATCGGCCGTACGAAAAAAAACTCACGGCGTAGTGCACATGGATGGTTTGTGTGGTTCAGCAAAATATGGCCAGACGCCGTATTGCTCCCACGTCTTTCGTGAAAAATATCGGCAAGCTCACAACTGCTGTGGGAACTCAATCCAAGTATTGCGGCAAGCGTTGCCTCTCTCTTCGTCCGGGTGCGATTCAACAGGAAATATACTAGCCGAAGGCGGACCTTCTACTCTAAACAGGTGTCATCTGCAAAGAATCAAATAAACGAACTGGCACGGCGCATTCGTAACATGGACAGGGCGAATGACAGCAGAGGAGGTAGTGCAAGTAGCAGCAGCGGTAGCAAGAACGTTCAATGGCGGCAGTAAACACAAAACATGGCGCTAAAAGAACCCGCTCACCTTCATGTCCCCTGTCGCCTTCTTGACGATGGTGACTGTTCGGGTGCGGCCGTTCTTGATGTCTCGGTAAACCGGGATAAAGCCACCCTTTCCTGTTCTCGCCACCTTCCCACCGCAGCAGTGAGAGGAGCGTCGGGGGGGGGGGGGGGGGGGGCCCCAGGCCAATTGAGTTTTAAAAAAAAAAATAGGTTTGGGTTTACCCCCAAAGAAACCCTCCCCTTCCCCCCATAAATACCGCCAAAGGAGGGGACAAATAGGTCCCTCGGGGGGGGGCCCGGGCCGAGGAAAAAGCCCCATCCCCCGGCCCCAAATTCCGGAAAAACAAACCATTAAAAAATTTTTTTTCCCCCAACAAAAAACCCAACAAAATTTTTTTTCCCC